ATTGGGTTCATCAACTGCTGTTCTGGACTGATACCGGTCTTGATCAGGTGTGAGAAATTCATTACTCTTCCCCTGTAATAACATAAAATAGAATCAAATAGTTTTTTGTGGTTTCAATACCTAAATTATATTGTCAGTTCATTAATTTTAATATTTATAGATTAATGTTCTGGATTTGGTAACACGTAAAAGACGAACATTGTTTTCTGAAAATCTAGATGAACCACGTGCAATCGCGGTAGATCCATTAAGAGGATTAATCTTCTGGACTGATTGGGGTTTGAGTGCACATATAGAGCGTGCTGGTATGGATGGCAATAACAGAACGGTAATTTAAGTGTGAAACTTTCTAGGTGTTTCAGTTATAAAAATTTTCAATTTTTCTTGTCTATCTGTTCGTGTTATTTTGTTTAAATTTTGTGGGATTTATTATGGCAATATATAGCATAAAAATAATGTGTGATTATTATATACGTGTACATTTTCCTTAAAATATTCTTTTTTTTTCGAGAAAAAAATTAGGATGAAATTACTGTTATTTTTAATAGCTCACATTATTTTGAACGTTTAGGAGAGCATAAAATGCTGCACGTTAGAGAATATATGAAATGAAAAAGTTTTCCAGGTGATAATTTCTGGTGAAATGATTAAATGGCCGAATGGTTTAGCTTTGGATATCCTAGAACAAAGACTTTATTGGGCAGATGCAAAAGTGAAATTAATTATGTCTTGCGACTACTGGGGACAACATATCAGACTTGTGCTTCGCTCACATGAACGTGTCAAACATCCGTTTTCGTTAACTGTTTTTGAGGAACGTCTTTATTGGACAGATTGGGATCAGGAAGGAGTTCTTACTGCTAACAAATTCACAGGAAGCGATTTTAAGACAGTAAGCAACATTCATCTTCACTGGTGTTACTCTATTTTCAAATTTCTTTCAAAAAATTTATAATGAGATGTCCTATCACTTTTTTTTTTTTTTTGTTTTAGAATGTTGTTTCTTTGATTGCGTATTTCAGGTAATGAATGGCGTTTCTGGCCCTATGACAGTTAGAGTCTATCATGAATTGGCCCAACCTGATCATCCTAACAAATGCGCTAGTCATGAATGTGAACATATATGTCTTCCTAAGGCTCATCTCCGTATGTTTTGAATTGATTTATTTTATTTATCTAGTTCGAAAAAAAAAAAAAAAAATCTTTGACTGTTAATTGGGATCTCCTTGATTGCTGAAGTTCACTTTTTTTCATCGGATTTATGAGCAATGTAAAACAAAGTTTTTGAAAAATGATTAATTTGCTTGTTTCTTATTTTTCATTATTTATCTTTTCTTTTTCTTTTTTTTTTGAAAAAATGATAAGTTTGAGATTCTAACCACTGCTAAAAATGTCGAAATGCTCGACGAGATAGTGTATTAGGCTAAAATTTTCTTAAATATACTCCTAATTTTTAGCAATAAAGGTTCTGAAAACTCCCAATATTTTCTAAATTTTTTATTGACTGAAAATTGATTTTTTCAGCCATCAATAGAGATGCTCATTTTCTTCTGAAAGGACGGCCATATACATGTGCCTGTATGAATGGTTTCATTGTAAGCTTGGAAAATGAGAATTATTGTATTTTGGAATCGGCTGCTGGTGAAGGTGAGTGTGTTGCAACATTTTAGTTTTTTTTTTTTTTTTTTTTATTTTTATATATATGTTTGTGATTTATTTCAGATGATAAGTTGAATGGATCATCACCGTTTTCGTTCTCATCAGTGCTCCTGCTACTGCTTATTGCATCCACAGTAATCGCGGTAAGTTGAAACTCATACTATCATTTATAGTGGTAAATGTCATTGATAATAAGTGATGTCGTGCTTCATTTTATTTAATTTTGATGGTGAATTTGATAGCAGCTTTGACCTCTTGTAATATTAACCTTCACCAGCAGCCGATTCCAAAATACAAAATGAAGGCAGGATATTCAAGCTTTTAAAATTTTTATTAGCATATTTATTCGAATGATAAATATCTCCTATCTTGTGCGTTTGATTATTTTTTTTTTTTGTGTGTGTGTGGAATTTCTTTTGAAACAAATGGGAAGAATTTCTTTTTTTCAAGGCTTATTTGTGGTATCATAAGCGGCCGACAAGCTTTGCAGTGCTTCATGTGGACAATCCGGTATACAGACGTACTGTTGAAGAAGTTGACGCAGATATGGATCCATTTGCTGACGGTAATAGCACCTTCATATGTTTTTATTAATATAAGAAAATGTAATAAGTAAATAGTAAAGTATATGAGTAATCAGTGGATAAAAGTATTTTTCGAGATATACTATAATTTGTCACTATATGGGAAATTTTCTTTCTTTTGTTGCATTTTTTCAGTTTGTGAACTCTTGCCAGTTTTTTTCTTCTTTCTTTTTGGGACTTCTTTCATTTTTATTTAATAAATTCTAGTATTGAGTGGTTGCCAATCTTTGATTTATTAATAGCATTTTGTTACTTTTGTAATCTTAGATTGTTCATAATTTTTGTTTTCTATATGTAAAATATATTATATATTAAAATTTATAATTTTAATTTCTCAGCTCCTTCTAACTCAAATGGCATTCACCGTGGCGTGAAACTTGTCATTGATCAGGACCAACAATGGAAATACAATCCTGTTAGTGCTCCACCACCAACTACATCAAGTACTTCATTAAGCATACCGGTATGGGCTATATAATATATGCTTTATAAAAGAGTTCATTATTAGAGTATGAAAAAACAAATAGTACTCACATAGAAATGTTTACTTTTTGAGTTGTACAACACGAATATAGTGTGAAAAGTCTTGTAATTTAAATTTAAAGCTATTGTTAAATAAGATAAGTTGAATGTTGACCTTTTTTTAATTTAATTTTTTTTTTTCTTTTGATTTTAGCAGTCCTTTATCCATCGGTAATCGTAGTTATTTATAATTCTATATTATGTGCTATATATGAATTCTAAATACTATATGTAAATGTTTCATTTTCTTCATGCTTATATGAATATTATTTGTAATTTTCTGGTCTTCAACTTCTAATTATTTTATTTTTTAATCTGTCATTTTAGGTTTAACTTATTTGGAAAGAGAAAAATATCATTTTCTATCTTTTTTTTTTTTTTTTTTAACAGAATGTGCTATGCTTCTTTTTTGAATAAATTTGATTGCAGACAGAATCGATGACTGCTCCTCTGACATCATCAATGGTTGGTTGATATAATTTTAATAACAGCGAGAGAATGCTTATGAGTCACCTCATATTTGTGACGATCTGCGAATAACAGTGCATCTCTTCCGGTTTACCGATTTGTCATATATTTGTCCGCTTAGTTGTTTATTACAGGTAACTTTTTTCATTGTTTCCTGTTTGGCGTGTACATTTTGCCGTATATGTCTTTTTAATGAATGAGCTCTCTTATTCTCTTTGGTTCTTCTTCTTTCTTTGTTTAAATGAAAAATCTTAATTGCTTTTAGTAAATTAGTAGCAGCCATGACAAATTAAAAATTTGAAGTTTCACACATGTTATAAAAAAAAATCATAAAATTTATACTGCCCTCAATTTGTTTTTCGATGTTAAAAATTATCAAGTCATTCTGATTTGCTAAAGGCAACCTGCTTTGTTTTTTTTTTTTTTTTTTTTTTCAACTCCTTCCCTTAGTAATCAGGTATCTAGTTTGTAGAAAAAAAATGTGTAGCTCAATTATTCGGAGATGTGCATGTGTAGTGTAAGTTTTATTCAGGTTTGCACCATTTAGATTCCATTTTACCGGTGTTCATAATCATAAATGGAAGAAAATTTACCATAAATTTTGAGCTTCAATATATGATTGTCTTATTTCCTTTTCTTTTTTTTTTTTTTGCATGAAATTTGCCATTTATAATTTTAAGAACTTATTATTATAAGAACCCAAAATATATTTACCACTAAATTATAACTCTGTTGTATATTTTGAACGATATAACCTATTGAAATATCTATTTTTTGGTTAACTCTTCGTTTTACATTGTTAATTCATTGTCACCATCTTCTTTTGTTTGCCAATAATGTTATCTTCGTTTTTCATTTGTATATTTAACAATATATTTCCTCCCACCTTCTTTTTCCCATAATTTTCTTTTTTTTTTTTTTTTTTTTTTGCTCATCTTTTATTCCCTAATTATTTATCATATCAGAATTATGGATATACTTTTTTGATCAGAGTTGGTGGGTATTTTCTTATATTTTATTTTCTAATCTTTTTTGGATTTACATACTGTATAAAGTGGCGGATTTCCTAAGTTGTTTTTTTTTAACGAAAAATTATAGAATGAAATTGCTGACATATCATGCAACAATTCTCATGGATTTCATGAAAAGCTCGAATCATTAGTGGACTTTATTATCATAATTTGAAATCTCTTGTTACTTTTCGTTAATTTTGGTACACTTCTTTGATAAAAAACATTATGCTTACGATACAAACCGCTTATTTATATGAAATCTATGCCATAAACAAAATTTTTTCTTATTTTATTTTTTCATTATATATAACAGTAAGAAAAAAAAAAAATTATATATGGGAAATGTTTGATGATACATTATTTGGCTGGTTCTTTTTTTTTTTTGAAATTATTTTCTTGCACATTTGTTGTATACTACTAGCTTTTCCTGAAAAAAAAAAAAAAAATATATGAATCATTGTTTTCAGTTAATGTTCCATTCATCCTTATGTTTATTTTATTTTATTTTATTTGATGTGTTTGATGTAATCTTAAGGTACTGTCAGCCTTATTCTGTATTTCATTACAATAAATGTATATGTTCCAGTATAATGAGAGGTTTTCATTACACTCATTTCATTGATCTGAAATGCACAACAGAATATTCGTGGGAAAAAAATACATAAATAAATAAATAAATAAATAAAAATAAAAGTATTTCCAAAACACAATTTTGTGAAATTTATCAAACTACTTATTTTTTTTACCTTTTTTATTATTTTTGTGTCATTTCCTTCTTGATTTCCTTTCCATCACTTTTAATTTCATTCTTTTTCTTATCAATAATCTTCTTCATATCATTGTTAGGGATATCTTTCATTTTTAATGTTATTAATTCCGTTGCTATTGCTGGCTTTTCAATAGTCTTCTCTAACTCTGTGAACAAAATACTAACATATTTTAAAAATAAAAAAAAGACAAAAGATGATAGCATTATTTTTTTTTTTTTTTTTTTTTTGATAGTCTTATACATTTAATGCCTTTTTAGAAAACTGTAAAAAATGCAAATTCTTTTCTTTTTTTTTTTTTAAATTATATCTCATTAAGCAAAAAACTTGCATATATATCATAGAAAATATTATTTCTTATTAATAAGCTAATTATATTATATCATTTTTGACTATATGTACTACTAACCTGGTTCCATTTTTTTTGTGACAATTGTACTTTCTGTTGTGGCAGTTAATGTACTCAAACTTTCATAATTTTCTGCTGCTACAGCTTTTTGTTTTATTTGATCTTTTTCACAGTTTTCCACTAGCTTTGACTTATTATTGCTCATCTTGACCTTCACTATATTATCTTCTTCAATTTTTTTCTTTCCTTCAAACTTATCCATTTTAATTTCTTTCATAGCTGTCTTTTGTTTTTCCTGCTAAAAAAAACTCAAAAGATTCAGTTACATCTTAAACTGAAATAAAATTTTATGAAATTTATAAAAAAAATATTTAATCATATTGAATGATAGTGTAAACAATATACTCAACTATTCATATCTGAAATTTTTTGGCAGCAAATTGCTACAAGTTAGCATCTTTTTTTCTCTTCGTGTTATAATTTGTAGCTGTGAGCGAAAAATTGAATTTTGAAAAAAATTGAAAATAGCAAACTTTAGATTTAAAAGTTTTTTTTTTAATTTTTCTGATTGAATATTTTAAATTTTTTAAAAATTAAAAAAAAAAAGCAGTAAGTGCCATCAAGATAGATTAGTTTTTTTTTTTTTTTTGTTATTTTCATCATTACTTTTTCTTCTGATAAAATTATCCATTCAAGTGGTATGATTATGTCTCACCTCAAGTTGTGAAACATTTTGGACTGTCATTTCTTTAACTTTTTCTCCTGTCACATTGTTCACATTTTCTTGATTACTTTCATTCTAAAAATATCATCGTTAATTAAATATGCTAATTAATGCAATATTAACATTAAAATTTCTTTAAAAAGATAAGATTGATTAATTAATTGAATATGTTGATAATATCAAGCAATATATGTCTGCTTCATCAATTGGATCTGAATTTCTTTCAATCATTTTCACTCTTTTTTTTTTTGAACAAAATAAGCTTACTTTTGTTTATTCACATTGAATTTTCACACTTATAAGTCATCCTATTAGGATAGATGTGTAGATTTAGATTTATATTTTAGATTAAATCTTTTTAATTAATTATTATTATATAAATATGGATAAATTAATTGTGCATAATAATAAATTAATTCATAACTTATGTTTTATAAGTTTTGCTTTTGACGATGATCTGATAGGAATTACTGAAAATTTGAATACTATTAAAAAAAAAAATGATTAAATTGAAATGAGTTTTTTTATTAATGAACGAAATAAATAAATCATTTCATATGATGATTCATTCAGTAATGGATGGATCATGCTGAAACGTATGTTTTCATAAATAAAGAAATGATAAAAGTTCTTTTTTTTTTCTTTTTTTTGCAATGAGATTTGTTGAAAAAGAATAACCTTTATTATCGAAAGTGGAAGTGGATAAATCTGAGTTATTATTTTCCTTCCTAAAATAAAAAGCTATAATCTCCCTCTCTCTTGCTCTCTCTCTCTCTCTCTCTCTCTCTCTCTCTCTCTCTCTCTCTCTCTCTCTCTCTCTCTCTCTCTCTAATTTCATGCTTTATACTGTTCAGTTCAGTTTATTTGTTAATTTTGATATTTCACAAAAAAAACCATTTAGTAAAGATTACAAAAATAATAGTTGATTGTACATGGATGTAAAGTATGAGAATACAGTAATAATAAAGGAATTAGAACAATCGAAATTACGAGTGAAAATAAAAAAAAAATTGAATTAATTGAAAAAAAAAAAATTGGATTAAAATTGAATTAACAAAAAAAGATTAATTGAATTAATTTATTTCTCATGAACCTTCTGTCATCATACTGTCCTATTTTTTTCGATGATTGTTTAATTGATGATGCAGTAGTACTGGTAGTAGGATATTGGCTAAAAGTGCTTAAACTTGATGGTGTTTTTGTTGATAATCCATAATTTAATTCAATTTTTGCCAGAAATTCGGTAGCACGCGTTAAAAGATTGTTACAATTAGTGCAAGGATCAATGTCTGAAATAATTTTAATTTTAAAATTTAATCAAATTTTAAATTCATATTTTATTAATACTTGTTTTTTTTTTTTTTTTTTTTTTTTTTTTTTTCACTAATTTCACACAAATATGCTTGCTTCAAATCATTTATTAACGAAATTAAATGGAAATTAAAAATTGCAAATTGTTAAATTTATTTTTTGCAAGAGATTAATTTCATAAAAGAGGAAGAAAAAAAAAAAAAAAAAAAAGAACTGAAAGAGAATAAATGGAACGAATTAGATGTCATAATAGATTTTCAATTATTTTTTTTATTTTTTTTTAATTACTCCGAAGTGATTTAATTTTGCTTACCTATTGCCAAAATTGTTATTGAAAAGATGAATGAATGAAAAATGAAATGAGTGAATGATTACAGATATTAATTTATAATAAATTATAAATTTTACACCAAAACCTTTGAAATAGTCCGTCTGTGATGATTTACTAGATGTCATTGCAGGATAATTAAGATTTGTTCCGCTTTTTGCAGTTCGATTTATAGCCGATTTTCTTGATTGTTGACTGGATGATGGCGTTTCATACTTTAGTTCCTCCCTATGTTGCTTATCAATATTTTGATCACTGAAATCATTTTAATTTTACTGATATCTTGGTGTTACTTCAATTAAAAGTTTTATTTTTATCCATTTAATAAGCTTATCATTGTTAATTATTCCATTTCATTTAATTAATGTGAATGAAAAAAAAAAAAAAAAAAAGAAGCAAAGAATGCAACTTTTTAAAGAATAATATTTTAATGTTTTGTCAAATCAATCAAAAGAAAAAACAAAAAGTTTTTGCATTAACAAAAATTAATTAAGCTAACAATTTAATTCTAAAATTTGTGGTAAAATTTGACAAAATAATAATAATAATAATAATACCTAGTAACATTTTTTAATGAATCATAATTGATGGATTTTGTTCGAAATGATCGTTGTCGTTGATTGCTTAATATCGTTGATGATGAAAGTAAGCTGTTATCATTACTAAAAATGAAATTGCTTATTATATAAAATTAATAAATATATTTATTTGTTAAATGTAACAAAATTTTTTTTTTTTTTTTTTGTTTTTTCACGAAGTTTATTGGAATTATGGAAAAAAGTGAGAATAGTAGAAATATGTATAATCCAAATTATGACTTTCTTTGCAAATTTTACTTTTCCCATTTTTTTCTTTTTTGAATTGAAATTTTTGAAATCAATCGAAAAGATTAGAAAAAGATATCAATGATAATGAGAAATTTTTTTGAATAATTTTAGCTACGAAATAATAATAATAATAATAATTGGAATAATTTTAGGTATATGAGAGAGAGATTTAGCAATTTTAGTAATGATTATAAAAAATGTCAAAAATATTACAACTAAAGGAAAAGAAAGAAAAAGGTGAGAAAAAAAAAAAACGAAATATAAAAATTTAAAATAATGGAGCATCGTTCATTTATAATTTGAAAAAAAAAAAGTGTACATAAATGACGTATTTTTTTTTTGAGCTTTGATTAATATAAAAAATTTTGAAATGAGATTCAATAGCTAAAGAATCTTTTAGATTTAAAAAAAAAAAAAGTGGGTTTTTTAATTTTTAAACACTGAGAATTAAAAAATTCAAAATCAAAAAATACATGCTTTTTCAAATGAATTTTATATTTGATCGAAAGATATTCTTTATCATCCATTATTGATTCTGAAATCAATCAATCAATATCAGATAGAAAAATAATCCATCGGTTAATGTAATGTCATTCTATAACTTCGTAATTAAATTTTGTCACCAGTAGAAAGCAGTAGTGATATTAGTAGTTAGCAGTAGTGAATAAAAAATGTGTATCATTCATTTCTGTTGGTGATAATAGTATTGATAATAAGTGATAATATTGGTGATAATGGTATAAATGATTAATTGGCTAATTTGATAATACTGTGTGAAAATATTAGTCATAAAGTATGTTCTTTTTTTTTTAATTTTTTTAAGGATCTTTTTTTTTAATCTTTTTTTAAATTGTATGAAAAGTTTTTTTCAATTTGACTTTACTTTTTATTATTATTTATGTGAAATACTTTTTATTTAAAATTCAAATATTATTTTTTTTTATTTAAAACTATATTGCTCAAAAAAAAAGTTTGAAAAATAAGAAAAGATAAGCGTTGATTTTTTTCTTTAGTTTTATTATTGATATAATGTAAGTGATAAAGTGATTATTGATATAAGAGATTTAAAGAAGTATAACTGAATAAATTAATGATGAAGAAAACCACGCACGATTAAATATGAAGTGCAAAATGATAAAAAATATAAATTAGACCTAATTTTAATACCACTCATTTCCGTTTTCACTTTTTTTTTTACTTCGGAATAATTAGTTTGATAGCTGAATGCAAATTTTGAATTGAAATTTTAAATTTTACAAAGTATCTTTTGCATTACTTATCTAAACAATATAATGTTAACAAATAATTCATTTTATGACAACGTTTATACATTTTGAAAATTTCATTCTCTTCCTTCTTCAAAATTTTATTTACAAAAAAATTTCAAGTTTAACCAATGTCTTTATTGAAATTTTATTCCTTCCTGTTTTTTTCATCCTTACACAATTTTTGCTAATGTTGATAACATTTACTTATAATTATTTTGAGTGTTTATTAAACGAGAAAAAAAACTGAGAAAAAAAGAAGGAAAATAGAAAAAAAAAAACGAAAACGTAAGTTTACAAAAAATTTGAATCATTTTGATAGATTTGAAACTTGAAAAAGAAAGAAGTCAGTTGCCGCTTAATTGTATCCTTTTCTGGATTATCACAATATTCAAAAATTAAGTTAGAATTTTGCAATAAATTTTTTCAAAAATAAAAATGTTACTAATGAAAAGAAAAACAGTCGGGCGGCTCTTTTCCATCCTAAAATCAAGACTGTAATAATTCAACTTTCCATGCTTATATTAACCATATTGAGTATTAATTATTTTCTCATACGTTTTTTTTTTTTTTTTATAATAATTCAGAAAAAAGCAAAGGGGCAAAAAGCTCCATATAACAAAAACCCGACAAATCATAATTATTTTAAATGACACATTAAGTTTTAAAAATTGAATTCTAATCATTCCCAGTCATTTCAAATACATCAATTTAAAAGAAGCAAAGCAGAATTGAAGCAAATTGAAATACATGATATATTAAAATTTTTTGGATAGAAAACTTACACTAACCTCACAGATAATTAATTTGTAATATATTTTTTTGTATTTATTAAAATCCTTCAATGCAAAATGGTTATTGCGTAAGTGATATTTTTTAGTTTGTAGGTCATGTTTAAGCATTAAAAAAATTTGTGTTAATCTGTTTTCTAAATTTGTAATATTCTTGAATAAAATTTTCAAATGTTAGAAAATGACTTATTTTTAAATGCAAAGATGCATGATGTCATGTATAATAAAATAGCCAACATTTATTTGCAATAGAAAAATTTAAACAGATCAAAATTTAGGCAAAAATCTAGTGCAATAGAATTTGGTGAAATATCTACGATAATTAATGGAGAGGCAATCATTTAGAATAATGAAATGAACTACATGCACATAAATACAAATATTTCTTGACCCACCGTCACATTTCCTTCCTTTTCTAACTTTCCTCATCTACTTTATATGACAGTTCATAATTGCTTTTTTAAGAAGATCTACTTGAGCACTAGCCATGAAATAACATCATCAAAGAACGAGCAAAATCAGTAGTAGTCATCAGTATTATCATCATTAGCACTACTTGCTACTTTATTTTTGATCTGTTCCTGGTTGTTGTACATATCCGCTATCTGAAATCACAGAAGAGTTTTCAAGAATTTTATTATATTAATTAAATTTCATTATATTAATTAAACCACAAAGAAAACCAATTTACAGAGAATTCTACAAAGATTTAATCTGTATTTTTTCCCTTTTCTTTTTTTTTTTTTTTTTTTGAAGGCAAACCTGCTGTGAAGTGGTAGCTTCCTCCGGTGTTTTATCAGTACGTCTCCGAATGTATCGAGGAAATCGCAGTGAGATCCCTTTTTCCAGATCTACCTCAAAAAGAAAATAATTTGAAAAATAAAATATGAAAAATTTTATCTACGAAACAAATAAAACAATCATTGAAAAAACCATATATATGCAGAGTGATGAATATTTTCCCCTCAGGAAATAATTTGATATCATTTCAAAACTAACGATTCCTCTGGCAGCAAAATGTTTAGGAGATATTGACAAATCAGCTGCTTTCACTTCCCAGACAATTTTCGGATCAAACCATACATCTGGTTTCAATGAGCTATCGTAAGAATAATAAGGACGAGCCTGAAACAATAACAAAAATGACTGTTCAGCAAACTGTTAAGTAAAACAAATATTGAAATTATTCAGCAGAGTGATATTGGAAAATTTTAATTTGTCTAAATAACAAATAGCATGGAAGAATAAATAATTCTATTAAAAATGTCTAGCGCTCTGTACTAAGTAGAAAAATATAAAAACAATGAAAAAATGCTTAGCTAGCCGAATTTATTGATCGATATAACTTTAATTTGTCAAATATTAATGTTTATTTAGACATAATAAATCATTCCAGGAAAAGTATCCGATGTTAAAAGTTAAAAGTATCTCGGTGACGATGAACGATTCAATGGTTGAGGATATCAAATAAGGGTGGAAAGATTACTTAAATAACAATTTATTGAAAATTTTAACCTTTTCGATCCTGAGTTCTTCAAAGTACTGGTGCTGTTGGCGAAGGTCATCATCAGTTAAACCTGTACCAATCTAAACAAAAAATGTAGATGACTGCATACCAATTTTCCAGTTCAAATTAAATAAATGAAAAAAACGATGCATCAGGAAGATATGCAATATACCTTGCAAATACTTTCGTATTCTTCATTTATTGGATTATAGCATGCCAGTAAATAACCACCATAAACACCTGTCCTTTTACCCGTACCAAAGAATGCACCAATAACGGTGAGATCAACAGTATCTCCAATTGTGTCCAAATAATCCTTTTTAAGCTATAACTACGTGTCAAGTATTTCATCACAAAAAGACAATGTATATCGACTAACTCTCACTGAGACATTTTTAATGCTAAATACTTTTTTACTGAAGTTACCATTATAGTATCAGAAATGTAGATACAACTCCTTATTAAAGTATAATATTTTCATGGGTATTAGAAACCATGGATAAACGAATGTTATACAGCAACCAAATTCTTCGGTTTAAGGATGAACCTTTAGCCAACTGTGTGATCGTTTCGCTATTTCATACGTAGCATCAACATCAAGCGTTTTGATCATAAGTCCCTCGCAGTTACCTTTTATGGCATCGTCTAGAAATTCGGAAATCTGTTCCGTGTCTTCCGTATCTTTGGATGCAACAAATCCACATACACCTCCCACTTCCTAATCAAAAGTGAAAATATGAAAAATCGCGTATGAATTATGCTCTCGAGATTAAGAGGAGCTACATTTGTCATTCTAAGTGTTAATATTAACAATGTCTTAATTCATATAATTGTATTATAATTATTTTAGCAACGACCTTAAAATGCCGTTGCAACATTTCTCGTCGCTTTCGGTACGGAGATTTAGTTAGTGACTGGCCGTTCCAGAATAACAAATCGAACATAAATACATGGACTTTAACTTTAATTTCACTGTCACCTACATTCTGAAAAAAGAAAAACAAAAGATGTACACCATATAAACATTAACCAAGCTCAATATCATAGTTGACCTCTGGTCAGTGGTAAAATCGAGATGAACAAATCTAACTTAGCACTATGTGAATTCTAAGGAATACGAAACATATGACGCATATTATAAATCTAACTCCTTTATTTGAAGAAAAATACAACTTTAATTAATAGAATGAGATTCCTTAATTAAAATACCTTCCTCTTTCTCGTGGAAAGAATCTGAAAAGGTAAAATCGTTTCGTGTATAGGATCAAATGCAACAATTTCCGAATCAATAATAAAAGATGTCGTCTCCTCATCCATAATCTGTTTTAAAAGTTCTTTCAGATCCGGATATTTGTCAGTATTATTTTCTTGATTCCGACTGAATATTTTAATACCAGATGAATCATAATGTATCTGCAACGGAACCATAATATATAAATTGTTTGCACTCATAAATATTTTGAATCAGAGTAAGTTAAAAGATCAAATGTCACCATTTGGCAAAAGGTGGAGTGCAATAATATAAAAGAGAAAAGTTAGTGAACAATATGAATAGAAAATCGCATATAACCTCTTAAAACGAAGTTAAGTGCAACTAAATAATAATTAACATATACTTTCGCGATAAAAAAAATAATTTTTACTTGAGCTCTTTCGCCATCGTATTTAAATTCGCAAGCGAAAACAGATCCACCAAAACGTTTTAGCACTTCAGCAATTCCTTTTGTTGGATGTGCTAACATGGGTTTTACAGGTATACCTCACCAAATAAATAGATTAAGAGAATAAAGCGGAATAGCATACACTTAGGTTTTGCAAAATTCATAGAGAAACCTGAGAGCATGCTCATTTGTCTTAACAGGTTTAACAGCTAAATAAATTGTAGAAAGAAGACATAACAATAAATCACAACTGAAAACTTCATGAAGATGCATAATAGCAAAGTGAAATTTTTTAGGGAGTTTATATAATTTACAAATGCTTTTTATAAGGAATTAATTACCTGGTGTGATTTTGCATTTTTCTGGTAACTTCGACAGACCACCATTCAGCACCGCTGCGACTACTTTTTCATAATCTGGACACTCGCTAAAAGTAAAACAAAATCATTTGAATGAAAAACTGATCAACAGTCAAGAATAGAAATTTTACCTGTATGTACTCCTCAATAGTAATATATCCTCTGCTTGCCGTTCCTTCATTTTTTCACAGCTCAGTTTTTCACCTCAATATAATAAAAATATAGAAAGGAAAAAAAAACTTTAGAGATTGAAGAAGCACAAGATTCGAGGAAGTCTATAACAAATTTTGAGATTTAACCTGAATGGATATGTCAGTTCTTGTGAAAATTCTTTGTCTGAATATTGAAATATAAAATTGCACATCAAAATTCTATGGTTTTAATAGTGATTATAATAAATACTGAAGACAACCAGAATTAGTTAGTCTCACATTATATGAAGTATTAAATTTGTAATTTACTAACCAGTTTTTTTGATTTCAAAATCAGTGAATGCGTTTGCAAGAGCTGCAAGTATTGATTGTTCTGCCAAACCAATTCGCAGCTTCCCGCTCAGACATCTTATCAGATAACGAGCTTCACAGTCACGACATGAAACCAAAAGTGATTTGATCATATCCACTTTTTTATTCATTGCCTGGAATCCACGAAATAAGGAAATAAGAGAATAGGTAGAAGAACAAGCAGTTTGTTATTCACAGGATGGAAAAACTCACTGTTGCCATAAATTGAGACCGTATGTTGCCGAGTGCATTAATTTCCAAAAAGGCCCGTGATATAAATTAATGAACTTTTCGCAAGAATTCTAATATGTTAAAACAAAATTCCTATTTTCTCGAAATTAAATTCGTTAAAAGTTAACGAAGCAAGAAACATGAAATTCCATTTCATTTACTCTGTTCCATATACACTTACCATATGTCCGGAAGTTTTTGCCATATCTTGCAGTTTATGAAAAACTGCAGTTACAGTAAGAGGAGCCGGAGTAAACAAAATACGCTGATTACTTCGACTCATTTGCGCAACCAAACCCAAATCTCCTTTTTGGTTTAGATCCTCCTTCAGTTTATCAATCTTAAATATCCACTGTTTTCATAATTTGAATCGAAACTATGATAGAATTTCCAAAATTACAACTTCCAAATAAGTTTTTTACAAAGTTAAAACACCTTACGACCAGTCGCTTGGGCGATGGCTTTCATTAAAGCTCCTTCAGCAATGCCCAACTCCATTCCTTCATATGTTGGGCCAAGTTTATTCACACACAAATAAACACAAGTTGCCAGTTCGCTTGGCGTTCGTTCTATTACTTTCATAAAAAAACTGGCCAATATTTTAACTATTTCCAACCTGAAAGACAAACTTGTTTAACAGTTATTTTCAAGTAGAAATGAGTTCCTTTTTCATTTATACTCGGTAACTTTTCACTGCAAAAACGGTTAGTAAGCAAAATCTTATCACTTCTTCCCACATTACTCTCTACTTTCTCTTCTTAATTCTACCAACCATAAGTAGCCATAAACCAGTTATTTTTCATATCAAACATCAGATGAATACTACTTTTCACACTTAATCTGATAATGACAAAGAACTGATGAAGAAGAGAATCGAGGAAAAAGTTCATTACCAGCCAAAAAAAATGCAAATTTTCAAAAGAAAAAGAAAAAAAAATTAACCGTGATGATGTGGCTTCAATACCTTCGAATGTCTTCGCCAAGCAGAGATATGGTATCCTGAAAAACAATTTTTTGCCCATATTCTCCTCAAATTTCATAATACCCTTGAAAAATAACTTTCTCATCAAAACTTTTCCTATTTAGATGAATTTTGATATTAGCAAAATAATGTTTCAGTAATACAATACTTGTCAAATAACAATAAGTGATTATAAAGAACCACGAATGGGTGTTGATTATAAAGAATTAGCAACAGCATGAAACATTATGCCATTTCATGTCATAAGTTACATTGTGTATTTGTAAGATATTTTGAAGTCTTGCTAGAATTATGCTAAAATAAATAAACAATCTATGGAAGATATAAATGACAGCATTATAATTAACATGAAACAGTTAAACAACAGGAGAAAGTTACACAAAACAGGACTTACTTTTCTCCTGTTTTCCAATCATTCTCAACATTTCGTGTAGTTCCAACCAATTGACTAAACATTCCCGAGCGTATCTGTTTATATCTAATCGCTATACATCCTATTCTATGGAAATATTGCATGCAGTATGAATGATAATACTCAAAGTATTAATAGTAACCATAATGTGAGCAATTCGAATAATATATAAATTGCTGTAACATGTTTAATATGTTTGAAAGAGTAAAATCTGAAATGTAAGTTTGAAGTATTAAATGAATGCAGCAAAATGCTAAGCTTATATCTTCCTTAGCTCATTTCACCACTTTTAAAATATTTGACCATTGAATACATCGAATGAAAATCATTTCTTCCCATGCTGTTTCACAGAGCCGAAGCATGCTGAGAGGATGCAACATTGATACTATAAATTGGCGGGAATCGGGCGGTGTGTAATAATGTCAAATTGTCAGGTGCTGGAAAATAGTAAATTAAATTGATAGATGAAGAAATAAAGACATGGAGGAAAAGTATTTTTCGAGAGAATTAGAAAGATAAATTGGATGCGATAGAGTAATAGGAATAATTGGAAGATGAAGACAGAGAGAGAGGAGCATGATTGCGGAAATGCGGGAAGGATTAGGAGGAGAAAGTTGGAAGTATGATTTGGGGTTTAAGTATGTGGGAGATATGTGCGGAATGTGCGGGGTAATTTTGTGTAAGTGGTAGCATTTTAAAATGATATTTTTTAAAGGTATATTAAGCTTTGTTATTTGTTCAATGAGACCGGAATATCACCATCCCTCCAATCGTTCCGCACTGATAGGTTAGTGCTGGAAGTCAATATGAATACTTCCGGTACACCCCGGATTTTCTCACTTTTAATGATAATGCAACAAATGTGATTTCTTTCTACTGATATTGTCATAACAACAGCTTTGAACTTGCCAATGAGGGATTTGAAAAATATGTTAAAACATCATTTAAAGGCATTCATTCGAAGTTTAAACACATTAATTCAATATCTTTGATAGCTTTTTTTCTTCAACTTGAAACTATTATATTTCTAAATTTTGAAATTTACTATTAATTAGAAGCTAAGAATTATTGCTTCTATAATATGCTAAATTCTTCGTTATGTATTGAAAAATAAAATATTTGATTGATATGTTAACCTGAAGTTAATCACGAAGTCTTCAATATAATATTTTTATTTATTCATTTAGAAAAAAAGAAAGAAAAAGAGAAACTCTAGAAAGGAATTGCCCAGCGATGTGTAAGCATATGATTGGTTGATCATGACCATGGTAACAGTTGACAGCCTAATCGATTTCTTTCATTTTTCCAGCTATGTGGTCGCAATGTGATTTACTGTGGAATATTGAATAAATGAAACATGGTGCATAGAATTAGTACGAAAAGAATTTAAACTAGTTATTATAAGTAAAATATCAAGCAACTCATATGTTACTTCCTAAAATTGATGAACAGAAATAAAAAAAATTTTCAAAAATACAAATGAGATGAAATGATAATTAAACATTATCAATTGATTTATCATATTGTTCTTATCGTTACGAATGATGAGATATCTTAAATAAAATATATGAAAAGGTAAATAAAAAGTAATTTTTTCAAGTGATGAAAAGAAACGGAATAAATGCATTCAAAAACACAAACTCCTGCTATTATTTTATAATCGTGAAATCATACATGAAGAAAGGACGACAATTTATGACGTTATGTGAAATATCAAGCTCAATAAATTGACATAACCAAGAGAAATATGAATGCGCAGAATATATTCTAAATAGTAATAATAATCATAATGATTAAATAATACTGTTGTCATTAATAGCATGAAAATAACTATAATAATAAAGTTAAAAAATGATACAAGTACCAAAAAAAATAGCAATAAAACATGAGAGAAGCGAAAGTTATTTATATATTTAAAATTTCTTGCTCTTTTAAGTAAAATCCAACAGAAATATAGTAATGTAATGCATGCACAATAAATGATGGCCGACTAGGGAAATGACAAATTGTTTGTTCATAATTATTATGAGATTAAGAAGCAATTCACTTGCTAATATATATCATTTAGATACCTAAATAAGAAATGCTAATATCTAATGATGACAATGATAAAGTGGATGAAGTTTGTTTCTGAAATTGTCGGGAGCTTTACAAAAGCAAATAATCGCTTATATTGTTGCATATTATGCAATTTCAAATTTAATGATATTTCAAATTACTAGTTTATATACATTAGAACAGAAATCAAGAAGAAATCAACATTAATTAAAAGAAAAGATTAGAAATGATCCAAAGATTGAGTAGTTCTATTCGTGCACTACCACTAAGAAGATGCTCAAAAAGCAGATAAAGAAAAAAAAGGTTTTTTTTTCGCACTAAAGAGTACTGACATAAGTTGCTTGATCACATAGATTATCTCATCTATACGTATCACTTTCGTAGCACATAAAAGTCACGATTCTCTAATAATGGTTAAGACAGTGCACCATTGTTACATTTGTACATTTGCATGTAACAGTTCTATTTAGGATATTGCTTAGGAAATATTGTTTGCACATATTGTAGAATATTCTTATATTGTAGAAAAAAAAAAGTTATATTATAGAATATTATGTATTTCTTTAATTTGACAGATGTATGGCTTATTTTAAGTGAACTTTGGCGGGTATTTCAGATTATTTCATTATGTGTTTCGGATTATTCTGCAAAATGTTTGCTGCGGCTGAAGAAAGTCCGGAACATCCGGACATATCTGATGTTCTCCGGTATTTGGAGAATGCACCTGTAATGCTCCGTGCATTACAGGAATTCATTTCCGCCAAACAGCAGGTAATTATTTCATGATTTTTATTTATCTTTGGTATTGTTGCTTAATTGCTATATCTGTGTTAAGAATACCGAATAGTAATTAAGCTTTGAAGTTTTAATGGAATAAACTGAGATTGAAAAAAGGAATGATAAGTAAGCATTATAAACTTTTCAGTATGAAGACATGCTGCTCACCCGCTTGGCGGCTTACGAAGGGCGAAATGCCCAACAAAATATGGAAGAGGGACCGGCACCTCAGGAGCCGGAATTTAACATAGAAGAGGCAGAGTGGGCTCCTCTGCCTGACAGTTACGATGCAGAAGAACAATGGCTGGCGGAAGCAGAGTTGGCCCCTCTGCCAGATGATAGTGAGGAGAGCCCTGAGGTGCCGGTGCCACCAATGGAAATAAGCAGCGTTGACGAACCGGAAGAAGCAATCCGAGAAATCGTCCTGTAAGCCTTATTTTAATGTATAGGCAAGAAACTTTAAGAAAGTATTAAATTTCATTTATTACACAAGAATCTGTTTCAGAAGATCAAGGACGATCACAATACCGGTTCCAGTCACGCATGCGACGGTGGCTGTGGCATTACCGGAAGTGTTTCACCCCGCAGATTTCGGGGATCTTCCGGACCAATTCCGAAGAGAATTGGAAGTGCCACAGGCAGAACCGTACACGGTGGTTCGAGAGGAAGGAAATATTACTATCGGTAATTCATATGTAGAATTGCAACCAGTGAAATGATCTTAGCTTGCTTTTACTTTAATCAAAAAAATCAACCAAGCTATAATAAACATTCTTTACATATAACATTTTTGATTTCAGTGTGCGGTATCTGCGATAGGCAGTTTGAAACGTTAAAGGGGTGGCGCATTCACGCCTCCAAGAAGCATAAACAGGACGGTAAGTGCTTTAAAATGGAATTTTCAATCATTTCTGGCTCATTTAATTCGTTTAAAATTTGGGAGACTCATCAATTACATATATTTCAGGTTTTTGTGCACGCTGTGGCCATAACCTCCTGTTGCCACCCGAATTTACGGCTGCACAGAGAACAGCAGCGGTAGAACTCCATGCCCTCGATTGGTGTCCGAGGGCATGTGCAGCCGTAATGGACGAAAGGCAGGTTAAACGCCGCCGGCTCAATCTTGTGGGGAGAGAAGAGGATGCTCAATACCTCTTCGTTCCAGGTGAGAAAAGTCATGGAGTGAAGTTTAAAAATAAAAGGACCAGAATGGAACAGAAAGATTTGTAAAGTTGACTTCGCAGCTTTTTCAATCAGTGAATTTTTTTTGCAGGCCGGTAATACCATTCGGCACTCCCCACGCGGCCAGCCTGTCGCTGCCTATTCCAATGCTTCACCCTCTATCCAACGAAGGCGGTCAAGCGGGTTAGTAAATTTTGAAAAAAAAAAAAAATACCAAAAAAATTAAAAAAATAAGAAATAAAAAATAAAAAGAAAAAAACAAAAGAGAAAAAAATAGTAAAAAATAAAAAAAAAGAAAAATAAAGAAAAATAAAAAAAAGTAAAAAAAAAACAAAAAAAAAAAAAAAAAACGAAAAATTAAAAAAAAAAATCAAAAAAATTTTTTTTTTGTTCTTTTAAATTAATTTGACTACAAAAACAATCGAATTCAAAGTTCGGAAAGCGAAACAGACCAATCCCAATGAGCCATTGGTAATGATAGATAAAAATCAAGAAACTTGCCAATGGGATTTTTTTTGATTGTAGCAAAACTAAATTCGGTAGCAACATACTTTGAATTCGATTATGTCCTTTTCAGTTTTTTGTTTTCTTCTTTTTCTTTTTTTTTTTGGTATTGAAAACTTATTGTTGTTGTATATTTATTTTGCATTTGGTCAGTATTATAAATGTTTTCTTTTTCTTTTTGTTTTATTTTCTTCATTTTTTTAACTTAATGTTTTTAATTGTTTTGTGCTATTACTAGTAGTTTCTAGTTTTCTGTTTTCTTAAAACATCTAATAACTATTGTTTACTGTTTGAAGTTTATGTTTATTTAATATTTAAAAGTTCTTTTTTTTGGTTGACAATGCTTGAATTTAGGCCATATTTTGGCAACTTTTGATGCATTTAATTTTGTATTATTTAAATTGTAATAAGTTTTTTTGTTCTACTTGTTCTGTTTGTTAGTGCTTTGTAATGGTTTAGGATGATTCGATATAGATAGTTAAATAGAGCATTTTTTTTTAATTTGTTTTTAACGGAGCTTGGG